GTCGATTGTGGTCGAAGAAGGAGAAGTGAGATGCATAGGTGGCACATACGCAAGTGGCCGATGGCGTGGCTGCTGCGGATCGGATGTAGAGGGAGGTGATGATGATGGGGCGAGGCGAGGAATAGGTGAAAAGGGAGATGAAGGGAAAACCGCAGCAATGAGATCATTATTGCGATTGAAGACCTTCCAAAGACCTTGGTTATTATCTAGATTGTCTAGCTGAGACTTGAAAGATGCTGAAGGATGAGGATGGAGCTTGGAAAGGGGTCTCAAGGGTGAGGGAAGGCGAATATTGATTTGACGATTGGAACGGTGTTTGATTGAAGGCGGGGCAGCAGCGGGAGGAGATTGATGCGATGGAGATTGAAGAAGGGGGAACGGAGCATTAGGACCCGCCACTATGTGCTGTTGCTCCGAAGAAAGGACGACGGGGCTGTTTGGCGGTGGATGACGCTGTTGCTGAGAGGGATTGGGAGGGTCCTGATGAGGTGAATCCGATGCCAACAAGGGAGCTGCTGATGCAGCAACAGATGAAGCCCGTGACTGATGGGGAATTTCTTGAGAAACAGAGGCCGAGATCTCCTTGGCATTACATCAAACGGTGGGGCCTGCTGTGCAGTCAGGGAGGGGGCTGCAGCAGGGGCAGATGCTGGACTTGCATTGCTGACTTGCTAAGCCTCGGACGATGGAGAGGGGGCAGAAGATGGAGGCGAGTCAGAGGCACAGGGGGGGTCTGTAGCAGCAGATAAAGGAGAGGGAGAGTTGTTGGCCTTGGCGTTGGATGGAGCTGGTGGTAGGGGCGGATGCAGCGCCTCAGCGTTGCTGGACTGCAGGGTCGGTTGAGGTTTGGAGCATTCAGCATTAGAGTGCCCCTGCATATGGCATCCCATACAAAATTTGGGCAGTCTCTCATATACAATCGGTTGTCTATGACCTTCAAACAAATCAATCAACACGCATTGCGGCCTCGCCTTCCTCAGATCAAGTTCAATACAAATCCTCGCTGTGCTAGGACGAGCCAGCGTAGCCGTGGCTTTATCCAAGCATAGGAATCTGCCGATCTTGTTCGCTATCGATTCCAAGAATTCAGGGGCAAAGCATTGAAGTGGGAGCCCCGGCAAAGAAATCCATACCGGCACCATAACTGAATCTTCATTTTTATGACAGCGGTTATGCCATCTAAAAATTTTGTATGGGAATGTAATAAGAGTTGAGGATGGCCTGGTAAGAATTTTCAGGAGGTCCCTTTCATCCAGAAAGCGGAGCAGAAATGATCTCGAAGTGAGAGGGCCGATGGAGAACGGACTCTCAAGGCCCCAATAGGAGATTTCTTTGTGGCTAGCAGCGAGCGAAGGACGCCCCCCATGGAATTTCATGACCATGGCCTTAGCATACAGACCCTCAACTTTGTGCATATCCGATTGCACAAGCGAGAACACCGGAATGCCCTCGCGCGTGCCACAAATGACGTTGATGCCAGTTCTAGGCAGACGAGCAAAGGAATCGACGTCTCGAGCATGAGCACGCATGAAGCCAGGCCCAGGAGCACCCTTAGCTGCTTGGGCATAGGATTTGAGATGAGGAGGATTGACTTGGGCATTTCGTCGAACAGGTGGAAGGCGTTTCTGCAGATCCGCCTGTTGGGCAGAAAGAAGAGCCTCAGCATGATGTGGGCTTATGGGGAGACTGTTGGACAGTGGAGGCGAAGCGCAGCAGAACAGGCGCACTACAGTGCGGTGGCTCGGGTGACTGCTGGGAGCTGATGGCCTGGAGGGGTGCTGACAGAGCTGGATAGAACCTGACTCGCGGAGCGATGCTGACGCCGGGAGCCGAAACGAGATAGCTGGGGATGTGGGGGCTAGCTCAGGAGATGGACATGCCGAAGCTGAGGCAATGAACGGACGGAGCTGCAGAAGAGGAGAGGCGACGGCGATGGAAAAGGGGGTTGTGAGCGCGAAGGCCAGAACAGGAGCAGGAACGGCCGGCTCTGAAGGAGGAGAAGACGTTGATCTGTGCTCGAAGCCGGCCGGATCTGACCACCAGACCGACGGATCTGAAGGCCGGAGCAAAAGGGGGATGGGTTCTCTTGGATCTGGTTTGAAGAGGAAAGGGGGAGGCGGTTTGTAGCTTGGAGAAGAATGAGATGAGGTGGTTTGGGGGGAGGTCAGGGGCAGGAGGGGGCCCGCCATCCAGAAGGCTGTCGGAGGGGGCTCCACCGCACGCAAGAGGGGCGGGGACCGGAGCTTGGAATCAGGGCAGGGCAAAAATCGCCCCTGGGAGAGAGAAAAGGAGGAGAGAGAAAGAAAATTTTGGATAGCTGTAGGGACAGTGGGAATCTCGTTAGGGACAGTGGGAATCTCTTTTTTTTAACAGAAATAAAAATGCATTAATGAAAGAAAAGATTACACGCAATCGCCTCTCATTATGAGAGCGTACTGTTCATAAGTGAGACATTCCTCACTCTATCAAAATGATTAAATAAAACAAAAGACTAATACAAGAGACTTATGATCTATTAAAGATATAACTCCTGACCAAATACAACATGCAATATATAGTCCAGAAGACATCAACCACAATCCGCCATCACAACAACACTTGCACCAACTCAAAACTGAGTTCAGCCCAGTGGGAATCTCTTGATTTGCAGAGAAACCCATTCTAAAAACATGAACATATTCCTTAGGACAAAACAAGAGCACCATCATCAAGAGAATTACGCCACAGCAAACAGATTGCAGCAATACACCTTCTGATGAAGAGAAAGCTGATGCTACAGTAAATTGGCAGCTAGGAAAATGCCCAGTCCATCCCAAATCTCCAGATCCCGCTCCCAGAAATATGAAGGAGCATACTGTCCGTGCCAGAGGGAACTCCGCAGCAGTAAATCCCAAAAGGAAAACAACGATAGGCTGGGAAAACACACAGAAACCAAGACAGCACCGGATTTTCAAAGGAAAAAACCAAAATTTTAATTGATTACATACCCGATATAGTGGTTCAGTCAAGGCCGAATTTGAGTTTTGATGACGATTCTTGGTGACGGAAGCCATGTCCAGCAGAGAACATCTAGAGGTTGGGTTCTGTCTCTCTTATTGGTTCTTCTGGCCATCAAGTGCAGCAGGAAGCGGCATCAGATTACTAGAGGAACCAACAAGAGGGACTGCAGGATGCAAGGCACAAGAGCGGAGTCTGATGAAGAAAGGCTCCAACAGGAGCATAGTATGTATGGAGTGGTCATGCGGCTTGGGCAAGCAAAACTGACATTTGTAAACATTGTCCGAGCGAGTCCGATAGAGGGGACCCCTCAACCTCTGATAAAACCGCTCCTCCTCATTTGAAGATCTCAAAAACAGCAAGACGACAGAAATCCCATAGGAACCACTGGCTGGGGGAGCCCATGAACAGCAGTCCAAGCCAACACCCAACAAGCCAAAACAAAAGTAAAACTTATTATACACATTAGCGGCTTCTGACATAAGAAAAACCCATCTTGTCGCGCCACAAAAGGTGTTGAATGTGCCTAGGGAGAAGAGCAGCATCAAAGAACTTTGTAATTTGGGTGAGATCGTGGCCTAGTTTAGATAGGGCATCTGCAACAAAGTTAGATTCTCGCATACAATGTAAAACATGTATATTACGAAAATTAAAATTCATGGACTTCCACTTGTTGTGCAATTGCCAGATAGGTCATGCTTGACCAATGCTCTTGACTAAGGAAACGGAGTCAGAATAGGCTGTGGTAGGTTGTAAGTTCATCTAATTGATCAGATCAGCCCCAACTTCTAGAGCGTTAACTTCACTATTAAAAGCAGTTCCCTCCCCCGAAGGGCCGGCAAAAGCACAAATCAAATTTCCCAAGTGGTTACGAATAACCCCCCCAATCGCCGTTTGATTATCGCGGCAAGATCCATCCGTGTTTAGGGCATATGAATTTTGCCGTGGGGGGGTCCAAGCATGCAAGGAAATTCGTTTGGCTTTTGGGCTTTTGGGGGTGATGCCTATAGATTGCAGCGAGTCAATCCCATATTTGCACGAGTGCATAGAAGGAAAAACAATAGCATCCAAATGTTGAAGAGTGTCGATTATAACCATTCTCGCATGCATATGGTCCTTCTTCATACCACCATAAATAGAATTGTTTCTGTAACTCCATATTTGTCTACAAATAGCAATGCAAGCAAGCCTACCCATTATGGAGAAGTGAGATTTACCTTTACAGATGCGAAACCACCATTTAATGCGCGTGGTTATAGATTGAGCAGGGAGATAAGGAACAGCAAAAATGATGCTGAAGTAGGTCCATAGAGATTGGGCAAGTTCACTATCAACAAAAAGATGTTCAATAGACTCAGATTTGTGGTTAAGGCAGCAAACACATTTTGAGGCCAAAGCAATGCCATTATGTTGAGCTTTCATGTCCACAGGGAGGATATTATGAAATATCTTCCAACAAATTAATTTAGCCGAAAATGGGGTGACAGTGGACCATATGTCAGCGAGAATGGGAATAGTAGGATAATGCCCATGAATTGATTCCCACGCCGATTTAACCGAGAAGGAACCAGATTTTTCAGGGGCCCAATGCCTAATATCATCATCCTCCGTCAGCCTAGGAGCATGGTCGTATAAAGCCTGCACTACATCAGTCCCAAGTGTAGGAATAAGATTTTCAAAACACCAATTACCTTCATGACAAAAATCACTAAGTTTCAGGTGGATATCCTCATAAGGACTGAGGCGATCCAAGAGAAACTCCGGGTGCCATCTGTCATACCAAAAAGATACATTACCCTTACCAATAGTCCACCCACACAGATGCGAGAAAACTTGTTTAATAGCAAGGATTTTCTTCCATTCCGGGGAGAATCTAATAGGGCCATTCCATTCAGAAGGAGAAGGTGGAATGGAGTATTTTTCATGCATGAAAGCAGTCCAGATGGAAGAATTATTACATATATTCTAGCAGTGTTTAAGACGAAGGGCACTGTTAACATCAGTTAATTTACGAATTCCAAGCCCCCCTTTGGACATAGGACGACAAAGTTTATGCCAAGAAATCCAATGTTTTTTGTGGCAAACTCCGAGGATCCCCAGAAAAAATTAGCAAACAGACTTTCAATTTTAGAGAGGACGGATTTAGGGATAGAGATGGCAGAAAGAAGATGGATCGGCATGCTCGATAGGACGTGTTTTATCAAAATGAGTCTACCTGCTTGGCTAAGGAGTTTTCCTTGCCACCCTTGGAGGCAGACTTTAATCCTATCAACAAGAGGGAGGAAAGGAGCAGCTTTACGTTGACCTGGGCCAATCGGAACACCAAGGTAAGTCATTGGAAAAAGACCACGGATGAAATGAAGAGTGTTGTCAATAACTCTATTGCGCTCACGGGGAGCTTTAGACTTAATGTAGTATCGACATTTCGCTAGGTTTAGTTGTTGACCAGAACTTTGAGAATAAATATCAATGATCTTCAAAATGAGATTGAGGGATTTACGCGCTGCATTGGTAAAAATGATCAGGTCATCCGCAAACAAAAGGTGAGAGGGACAAGTGGCCTTGGTAGTGGAAAACCTCGCGTCAAAAGATATCATGTTCTCAAGACCACGGGAGAGGGCTTCCTCAGCTAATATGAAAAGACTGGGGGATAGAGGGTCTCCTTGACGGAGACCCCTAGAACTACTAAAGAAGCCCTTGTATACACCCTGAAAAACGACAGAGAAGTTACAATGGCAAAAACAGGCTTTCATAATGTCAATCCAAGCCTCAGAGAAACCAAAGCGAGACAGAACTGACTATAGAAAATCGCATTCAAGGCGGTCATAAGCTTTGTTCATGTCAAGATTCAGAATAATGTTTGGATGTTTGGATTTTTTATAAAGATCTCTGCATATTTCTTGGGTCAAGCTGATATTGTCTGAAATGTTCCGGCCTTTGACAAAAGCACCGTGATTAGACGATATGATGGTAGAAAGGATTGTGGCTAATCTAGTACATAAAGCCTTGGCAAAAATTTTGTACAAACAACTACAAAGGCTAATGGGCCGGAAATCATTAAGGGAGTTCATTTGCTGTTTTTTAGGAATAAGCACGAGGATAGTGTGGGTAAGGCTAGCCGGAAGTTTTTTGTGAAGAAGAAAATCATTCGCAGCTTCAAGGATAGAATTACCGACGATAAAGGCTAGCCGGAAGTTTTTTGTGAAGAAGAAAATCATTCGCAGCTTCAAGGATAGAATTACCGACGATTCTCCATTGGGAAGTGAAGAAAGAAGAGGAGAAACCATCAATTCCAGCAGCACTATCAGCTGGAATGAAGGAGGCAGCGCTAGCTAATTCGTCGATGGAAAAAGGAGCAATGAGGAAAGCATTTGTGTCATCCTGAATCGAAGGTGGAATCAGGCTCAACAATTCTTCCCGCACACAATGAGGCTCAGAGGACAGGAGACTGGATAGATGGTTAATAGCCGCCTGATGAATAGCAGAGGAACCCTGCCGCCTGATGAATAGCAGCGGGACCCTGGAAAGTTTCCCCATTCAGACCCTTAAGAGAAGAAAGCTGAAACAGACTCTTATTACTCCGAACCATACCATGGAAAAATTTGGAATTAGAGTACTCTTCCTTAAGCCATCTAATACCCATTTTTTGTTTCCAGAAAATTTCCTCCCGGATAACAATTTCGTGCCATTTAGCTTTGAAAGACTGCAGCTCAGAATGAGAGGAGGGGTCCCATTGAGCCTGAAGGGAGGATTCAATACGAAGAATATCGTTTTCAAGATCCTTCTTTTGAGTGAAAATATTGCCAAAAATGGTGGAATTCCATTGTTTAAGGGCATATCGGAGGGACTTGAGTTTCATGCAAATATCAATGATGGGAGGGTGAGACCGAGGACGTTGCCAAATATGGAGGACCTGAGCTTTGAAGGATTCATGACGAGTCCACATTCTCTGAAATCTACAAAGCCTAGGACCATAATAAGATTGATTATTCCAAGAAAGAATGATAGGAGAGTGATCAGAGAAAGATCTATGGAGAGCATGGGCAGACAAGTTCCCCGAGATCAACAAATCGGAGGATTGTAAGAATCTGTCAAGAGTTTGCCAAGTGCGGGGCCTACTCTCAAAGTTATTGCACCACGTATATTTATGGCCCGATGTGCTGACAGGGGCCATGTGGCAGTCATTGATACAAGCATTGAATTCCTCCATCGCTAGGGGTTGAGGAGGGGCTCCTCCAATACGATCCTCAATGGAAGAAATGGTATTAAAATCCCCTCCCCACAACCAAGGCCCGACATTGATAGAGTTAATGAAACGAAGGTGGTCCCACAATTGACGACGGCGTTGAATAGTATGTTTACCATAAATCGCCGAGAGAGAGAAAGAGAAGGAAGGCAGAGACACTGAAATGGAGATGCATTGAGTGTCTATGCGGATAGGCTGGACTAGAATCCACGGATGCCACAAAATCCAAATTTTACCCCCAAGGTCTTCATTGGATAACCAGTTTGACGATTCGCAGAAAAAGTAGAATTTCCTAATGAACGTGGTCGAAACAATGGGTTCAATAATGATGAATAAAAAAGGGTTGTGTTCGGCAATTAATTGTCTACAGAAACCAAAAGTGTTAGGGTTAGCTATCCCTCTGGCATTCCAACATATTAGTTTGAGATTATTCATTTATGATCCGTGGCAGGGTCTTTTCTGGCCCTGAGCTGGACTTTTAGAGGGGTGTCGGGGTGTCTTTTGTTTTTTTGGAGGTTTTATGGTGATTGAGGAAGAGGTCATCAGTGTTATGACCTAGATAGTGGGAGGGCTCAACATTTTGTTCTTCATCCTCGGATACAGTTTGGGCAGAAAAAAAATTGTTTCCTTCTTGGTCCAAAGGAGAGTTTGGTTGAGAGTCCATCGCTATAGAGGATCCTGAGTCCGATTCCACAGGGGAAGAGCTATGGATGTCAGAAGATTGGGGGAGGGCTATAACAACCGCACTAGTGGAAGAGGGCATAGCCTTACTCGCCACTGTCGATGAAGTAGCAGGGGTATTAGAGATAGGTCCAGAGGTAAGAGAGGTTTGGATGAAAACCTCTTTTGGGGTAATGCATGATTGATCAATGGAATCTATTTTACGAGAAACAGACTCGAATAAATCTTGATTAGCACTAACATTAGTTTGTTGATTTTTAAAACGCACTGATTTTCTCTTTTGATTCTTGGAAAGAGCTTTCGAAGGAGAAAGAGGTTGGTTATGACAGGATGATGGTTGGGGATTAACATCAGTTGGAATACCATCTGGGGTAGGAACTAAAATTGGTTGATGCGGCACAGGAATAAGCTGATGCTGCTGGTTTTGGGGGGCATGGATCATAACTACAGAGTCCGCTAGCGGGAGGGAGGGGGCAGCCGACGACGAGGGTCCTAAAGATTATTGGGCTGAAAAAGAAGAGGATGAGGGTTTAACGATGATATTTGGGGGAACAGGGAGAGAGGCTGAAAGAGGCTGGTTTTGCCCACTGACATGCTGCCTAGACCCACTACCATTCTGCCGAGAAAGATGAGAACGCTTGGGTGGTTGAGGAACATGGACAGGAGCTAAGGGTTGAGGAATGACAGGGATACTTTTGTGACAAGACAAAGATAGATGACCCTGAGAGTAACAGTTATTGCAAAATTTTGGGAGTTTTTCATATAAAATCGGTTGATCAAAACCTTCATATAGGCCAATCCATATAAATTGCTGCGGGGGTTTACGGAGGTCAATTTCAACACAAAGACGGGCTGCACTAGGCCTAGCAAGAGTGGCTGTAGCTAAGTCCAAGCACAAAAAATGTCCAGTTTTATTTGCAACAGTTCTTAGAAATTCAGGAATAAAACACTGAAGTGGGAGATTCGGAAATGAGATCCAAACAGGGGAGAAACATGAGTCCTCTTTAATATGACAGAGACCGTGCCACCTAAAAATTTTATAGGGGAAAGTAATCAGGGTGGACGATGCTCTAGATAGGACTTTTAAGAGGTCTATTTCATTTTGAAAACGTAGCAGAAAAGCTCTCGATGATAGGGGGCCAATAGAGAAACGGTGATCAATTCCCCAACTCATAATTTCTTTGTGACCAGCATCAAGAGACGGACGGCCACCCAGAAATT